GAACCAGCCCAACACTGGGTGCCAATGTGTGAGATTGGATTTCTTCTGAAACACATATCTCTGACAGTATGACAACATATCTGTCAGATCCTTTACAAAGTGACCAGCTTCCTGCTCTAGAACTTTTACATTAAAGTATCCCAGCTGAATGAGGTTACCTGGAGACAAAACATAGAGAGACAATGAGATAAATGATCTAGGAATTATAAACTAAGAATGAAAATCCAGCAGTGCAGTTACATTCTAAGAATTGATTCTGTTCACCAGTCCACCATCACTGTTCTGCAAATCTAATACACACTCCAAGAAGTGTGTGTATAAAGCAAGCACACATGCTTACCCAGTAAGCACAGAGTGTGGCTTCCCTCCAGACAAACACAGATATCCAAGCATTGCTCCTCTCGACTTAAAAACAAGACAAACTTGCGGAAAAGGTCATGGGTCTGGATGGTGACCATACACTGCAAAGAGCACAAATTCAGACAGGTGAACTAATATTCTCGCAATTTTTGTTTTGACTTTATAAGATATGTGTGCAAATTAGGTGTTATTATCCTTCCAGATGTGTTTGTTTCTTACATCTGGTGTGAGCGTGTTGAGGTGCGAGATGAATGCTGGAACAGACATGACGTGGAGAAGGAAAGACCTCAGCAGGTTGTCTGAGAAATATGCAGCGATAACAGGCCTGAAACACACCAGGATCAAAAACACATCACATTATCGGTCACTTCACAGAAATAGAGCTCCTGATATAATCAGACTGTGAGATGTCTCAAACAGCAAAGCCAGTTCTCATGGCAACCGACCTGAGTGACAGCGTAAAAATGGCTGTGAGTGTTCCTTTGGAAAGGGAAGGTCTGGATCTTGCCAGTCCATTTGTAAGTAGAATCTGCAAACAGCAAAGATGCTTATTATGTAAAATGTTTAAAGCTCAAACTCTAAGTTCAGGCTAGATTGGTTCAAACTAGAGCATTCAATCTGTTAATAATTGTAATCAAATAACATGATTTACTGAATAGTTGTTTAAAATAATTATATATACTGTCTAATATGTTGGAGTCAAAAAGTTTTTTTTTTTTTTAAGAAATTAATAAAAAGTGACAAAAAAAATTATACATTGTTAAAAAAGATTTTTTATTTCAAATAACTTTCAATCATGAAAAAAAAAACTGTACCACTGTTTACACAAAAATATTAAGCAGCAACTTTTTCCAACACTGATAATAGTAAGAAATGTTTCTTGAGCACAATAGTAAGAAATGTTTTACTAACACTTTATTTTATAAATTGCACTAAAATAAAGTGTTACTAAATCATTTATTTTACTAACACTTTATTTTAGTACAATTTATGCCTTCGAATTCATCTGGGAGCTTTTCACATCAAATAATAAACACTTTTTAAAAATGTTTTTGAAAGAAGTCACAGCGTTAACCACATACTAAAATTCATTCAAATTATATACTACCAGCCTGTGACAAGATTCTGATTGGCTGTTTGGGTGAGTAGTACCTGAAGAACAGAGTAGAAGCCCTTCTGATTGAGATGTCCCATGATGTTCTCACAAATTCTGTTTAAAGCAGGCTTGAGGGCCTCTCCTTAAGAAAAAAAGAGAGAAAATTCTAGTAGGGTTCTATGTATTTTAGCATGCAAATCATCTCAACAGCTCTGATTACATGGGACACAAACCCTTCCCTCGGATGATTTTCCATGTCGATGTGTCAGTGAAGGTTATCAGCATTGTCAGGTACAGCGTCACCAATTTATTATCTTGCAGTATGTCAGGCTGCGGGGAGAAACGGAAAGCAGGAAATAATCATTCTTCAAGAAGCACTTCCTGACTTGTATGAACAGATAACTGAAAGACTCAGAACTAAAAGAATGTGCCTGTATGGCACAAAATAATTCAAAAGATATTCAACAAACAGATCAGATGTGTATTAACCAATATTTTCACAAAGAAATACCTTCAGTTTCTTCAGAAATTCACAAGAGACCCATAGCACATCTTTGATCTGTTTCAGCCAGGGGATGGTGAGATCTTTTGAAAGGGCCAGGGATACATACCATACCTAGAAAAATAATAGCTTGTCACAACAATGCAAACTTGCAGAACTATTACCGTATAACATAAGATATGATAAAATATGTTTCAGTCATTGCTTGGTTAAAAACTTACTTTAGGTTCATTCTCGACATCCATGCTACTTAGTATGATTCGACACAGCTTCTCAAACCTCTGTGTAAGAGAGAGAGAGAAAAAAAAACAATGCCATTAATAATAATACACAACATTCACAAAAAGTGTAACTGTTCACCTAATAAACAAATCCTATAAAAATCGTAATATTTTATGTGATGCTCACCAATTTATCATCCTTGCTCAATATAAATAACAATTTCCTAGCGATTTTGAAGATGGATAATGCATTTCTTTTCGCTGAACCTGCATCGCTGACTGCGATGAAGTCATCAACCTCTTTCCTGAAACAGAAAATAAAAAAAGTTATAAATCTGTGTCAGAGTACACACTACACTAAGAATACATTTTCAAATATTAGCTACTGTGAATTCCAATAAATTAAATCTAAAACTGAAATAAAATTAATTAAAACTATTTAGAAATATTTTAAAAGGAAAAACTAATAAAAATGACAAAAGCACATAGCTAAATTAAAAAATAATCTCAAATTAAAACTGAAAAAAAAAAAAAAATACAAATCAAATTCAAAATATTAATAAAAGCTACAATAGTATATTAATAATACTAAATTAACACTCGCTCAAACAAAAAGCTTTTTTTTTTTTTTTTGCAGTTATGTTTTTTTATTGTTTTCCTTAAATATAACATACCAGTACAAACAATAAATACATAAAACACTGCATGTATAAAACAAAACAGAAAAGAAAAAAAATACAGAAATTACACTGTAGAGCACAACAGGGTAAACAAGTCCCAATTCAGACATGGTTCTAATATCAGTTGTCCTTTGAAGAAACAATCTGAATAAAATTTTCCAACAACAAACAGCTATTTTTTGAAATAGTGTTAACATTATTGAAAATATCAATGTGCAAATAACAGCAAGTATTTTAGCACTAAAAGAATTCACCCTTAATTCTCCTGTGTTGTTTCATTCCTAATTTTTACTTTTTTTTTTTATCTCTGGCCAACAGAGTCAGCAAAGACCTATGACAATCTAGAATGGTTTGACTATTGTAAAGAACGGCTCATTTCAGCCCTAACCTGATATCTCTTTGCAGCTTGCAACGGCAGAGGAATCTTCTGACTAGAGCCTGGATTTGAATGGCAGCTCTCTCTTTCTCCTTATGACCTTTCCTTTCCTCCCGTGCTATCCTGGATTTATCCAGGAACTGGGATTTGGACGTTTGGGTAGCAGTGAACATGTTTTCACTCCAAACTGTGGGTTAAACATTATAAAAAGTGTCATAGCCAGGAACAAAACACCTGAGAGCAAACACAACGTCAGAGGCTATGCATGCAAGTACAGGAAATTAGATTCAAAATTATTTTCAAACCATGGTAAATAAATTAAGAAAATTAATGTCTCTCATTTACAATTTCAAATCTATCTTACATAAACACACACACGCAAATTACCTTGCCCTACTGTAGTGACTGGTAATACTTCTGCTTCCACAGGTCACATGAATACTATCACATATTCACACTTGTTGTTCTGGAGGTCCATTGGACTCTACAGACAGAAGAGTGATTTTCTTTTAGACATTTTATTTATGTTAGAACATTAATAGCACTTCTTTAAGACAGCACAAATGATCCATTGATTTAGGCACATGAGTTGTTGTATTAAAGTTACTGAAGATGATATGTTATAAATAAAAGGAATATTTTACTTTGCCTTTTAAAATAAAACACCGTTTTAGACACACCAACAGATCACAAAGCAGAAAGTGAAATCAAGAAGTATCTGACAGCATTATCAGACCAAAACAGAGCAGTCTTTATCATTTGCTCAAAATATAGAGGTGACACTTAAGATTACACAACAGGATGAGCACTCTACGGTAACAAAATTAACATTAAACATCTGGTTTAAATTTGTAGAAAACTTAAACTAAAATAAAATCAGTGAATTGTGAATTCGTTGTACCTACAGAGACAATAACATTCACACTAGCTAACGTATCCTGCTAGCAAATACTAACACAGTTGAAGCATTCAGCGAGCTGGCAACGCTTGAGAAATGTTGTCACTTGATAACTGTGTTTCAAATGAAAAGTAAAGAAAGTCTTTAGGGTATTCACAAAGATTTCATTTACCTGAGCGTTTGAGAATAAATGGAAAATTGATGTAAACAAAAGAGCGACCCAGACACCGCAGCTCTAATCCATTAACGGTGTAACCTCCTAATCCTTCCGGAGGAACAATTTTGTTATGACAAACCGCATTCATGACAAGAAATATGGCTCGTATTTTTTATTTGTCGTAGTACATTGATATCGTTTCATTGTTGAAGCGGTATTAGATCTAACTGGTTAATTCGAGGTTTGGGACAGCAGAGGGCTGGTATTTTGTACTTAGCGGAACTATTTGTGATACAGCTTGTCTTCTGTTGATGTACATATATTGAATATTTGAACATGTATTGGACATGCAATTCACCAACAATAAAAAAAAAAACCCAACAAAATGTCAAAATTTTAAATTATTTGTTTATGATTTTCAAAATTAGTACCAAATTATTTTTTTGTTTTTAGTTGTGATATGTTTTTTTTTTTTTTTTTGTGATATGTATTTTTGATATTTGGAGATACAGTATAACCTAAACATATGTATCCAAAAACATTTCATTTACGGTATCTAAAAAGTGCCTGTGACCTGATGTCAACACTACATCACAGTGTTGCACTAATATTGGAAACTGAATCAGAAACAAAGTTCGTTGTATGAATCAGTTTTGTTAAATATAGTACCCCCAGCACTCAAAAAAATAAGTGTATAGTTACAATCACAGGAAGTGTGAAAATGAAATGACAGGACATTGGACAGGTGGAGTTACTTCCCATCTACCGCGCGACCCCTGCACGAGTCCGGGTTGCGACCGGAAGTGATCTAATTCCATACCCGTTCCAAGAGGCCCGAAAGAATCGGGGGATTTCTATGGTAAATAATGACATTTGTCTGTTATTTCGTCTAATTTATACGCTTCTAAAGGTGTATATTTTAAGTAGTATTTATTGCGGCGTGTACTTAGCTTTTTTTTTTGTAAGTTCTTGTTTATTTCCTTAAAGGAATTGAGAGAACAAGATGGTGTGCTAGTTTAGCGCTTTAGCTCATGTAACGTAGTTATACGTTTCTTATGAGTAACTTTAAATTAAATAATTGATTTTCTTCGTATTCAGTTACGAATCATGTATATACATAAAACAAATATACAGGAATAAAATGAGTCAAATCTATTGGCTTTGAGTAAAAAACATCATAGCAGGTTTTGGTGTGACGTCATTAAAACGGTCTCATTATCCTGTGTGAACGGGTTTCTGATTGAATGAGAGATGAGTTATCATGATTTAATGTTTTACTATCTATCAATTTGTCAATGTGTTGCATTTGAGAGAATTTAAGAGACTTCCGGTAATGTTAGAACTAAATGAAATGCACCGCCCCACCTCCTGAAACTCTTGAAAACTTGCATAACTTTTTTTAATCTTTGATATTTAGAACAAACTTTTTTTAAATTTATTATCTAAATAAATTTACCATTTACCCTCACTGTATTCATACACATTTCATAATACTAAAAATTATAGGGTGGTGTGTGTGTATATTTGCAGTATAGATGCATACGTACACTGTTAATCCCCTAAGAGAAACTAAATATATTATATATTTTGAGTGTCCTGCGATTTCAAACCTCTTATGTCACTATGTGTGATTTTCAGGAAGAGATGTCAGGAGAAAGTGTGGTGAGCTCTGCTGTGCCGGCAGCTACAACACGGACCACCTCCTTCAAGGGGTCCAGTCCCAGTTCCAAATATGTGAAGCTGAATGTCGGGGGAGCGCTGTACTACACCACTATGCAGACCCTGACCAAGCAGGACACCATGCTGAAGGCCATGTTTAGTGGCCGTATGGAGGTCCTTACAGATAGTGAAGGTAGATTTACTGTAATACTACTGAAGAAGCATTCACGTAATATTATGAACCATATCGATACAAATGTGTGCTTCTGCAGTGCCCAAGTCAGACTTTTCACCTCTGATCTTTCTCCAGGCTGGATTCTGATTGACAGGTGCGGGAAGCACTTTGGGACCATTCTGAACTACCTGAGAGACGGAGTCGTCCCGTTACCTGAGAGCCGGAGGGAGACGGAGGAGTTACTGGCAGAGGCAAAGTATTACCTGGTGCAGGGCCTGGTGGATGAGTGTCAGGCGGCATTACAGGTAGAGTACATTCAAACGGATAGTTCACCCAAAAGTGAAAATTCTGTCATCATTTACTTCTTGTTCCAAACCCATTTTTGTTCATCTTTAAAATGCAAATGAAAATGTTTTTATGAAACCTGAGAGATTTCTATAGCTCCATTTATTAGGAGTGTAACAATAGCTCAATCAAATGGCAGTTCAAAGTATCGATGCAATGCGTAAAAAAAAAAATATATATAGATTTATAGAATCGAAATATAGATAGAAATATCTGTCTATCTATCTATCTATCTATCTATCTTTATAAATCTTATTAAAGGGGTCATATGATGTTGCTAAAAAGAACATTATTTTGTGTATTTGTATATATATAGATTTATAGAATCGAAATATAGATAGAAATATCTGTCTATCTATCTATCTATCTATCTTTATAAATCTTATTAAAGGGGTCATATGATGTTGCTAAAAAGAACATTATTTTGTGTATTTGGGCCTAGCGTGAGCGAAAGCCCTGGCTTAGCCTGAGCTGAAGCCGGGCAAGAGTGAGCTGAGGCGGCGGGGTCGAGAACGGCGGTCCCGGCGAAGGAGCGGTGAAAGCCGATCCGGCCAGCCACAGCGCGAAGTTGATGTAATCCCTCAGCGACCAGCAGGGATCAGCTCTAGGCATGACGAAGCGGATATCGTCCTCTTTTGGAAGACCAAACAAAGTAGTTTTGCTTTCACAAGGAAGCACACAGCGTCTTCACGACATGGCTGCAGTGTCAACAATACTACAGCGAGAATAAAAGTTACTCCTTCTTTCTTTGCGTGAACATTTGGGCGGTGTTATGCAAATCTTCCCACATAGTGACCTAGATATGTTGGGGCGTGTTAGAACGAGCCGTTTTAGGTAGGCGTGGTTGACTCTTAACTTTTATAAAGAATATCTCTTTGGATTTGAGACTTTAGTCTTTGCAACTTTACAGATCTTCTTTATGCACCAAGAGCTTGTAACACTTCAAAGAGAAAGGAAAAATTGAAATTGCATCATATGACCCTTTTAAATATACTAGAGATATACCAGAAATATACTAGACTTGTCTGACTTTTATATAAAGATATAATTGTCATAGAGCAGTCATCAAATATTTGGCAAGTTTTAACAACTTCATTTTTTTAATTTTTTTAATTTATATATGATAAATAATAGATAGATGTTTATATTTTCTATCCAGTGTTCAAAATATGGAACTATGGCAGTGGGCGTATCGTTTTCGACACGTGCTGAACACGGTAGACCAGTTACAACAGACTAGGCTCACAGAAAGGAGGGGTTTAGAGAGACTGAATCTTAGAACTGCTTCGAACGAATCGTTGGAAAATGAGGTGATATTAAATGCATATTTTGAGAAAATAAAAGCATTTTTTGACCTTGCATGCATGTAAACCTATTGTAGGGTACTCCCAAAACAATATTAGGAACCTTAAAAATGGCATAATAGGGGCACTTGAATTATTTTTCTATATATTATTTAAAAACGAAAGTGTATTTTTATTGTTGTGGATGTCCCAACTGGGATACAGGATTTGCAATTTTCAGAGAGTTCAGTTATAAATGTTTGTATTGTATTTTGGTTGCATTTGTGCGTTAATGAAAATGTAAATGGTTGTGTACAATAGGCTTAAATATGCCTAAAAATATTATAGCGTAATAATATCAATATATTGATATCATCAAATCATCAAATATCATATCACTGACTAAGAGAATCAATTTCATTTATTCACAATCACATATAAAAACTGATCAACACGCATATATAGAGCACACCAGATATGATAAACAGAAGCTCAACTCTATGTGCATGATGCACAAGTACAAACCTCACTGGTTCTTGCAGAAGCTCAAATGTACTTGTGTGACACATGAGAATGAACCTCGTTGGTTTCTGTGCATCAAGCAAGCACATTTGAGCTTCCATTTACCATTTTTGATGTTCTTAATGTATGTGTTTATATGTGAATAAAAGTCTAAATTAAATGTTCATCATCATATATAAAGTGATTGTGTCTTTTCAGAAGACTTGGATTAAACCACCCAATTCTTTTTGAAACTTTTTGAAGCGTCACATTTTTGATGTAACTTAACTTGTGTTCTGAAGCAGAACAAAATTTTTATGATTTTGGAACATGATGAGATGAGGGGAAGGGGGGGTGGTGAATTATGACAGAATTTCCATTTTTGGCTATCCCTTTAATTAAGCATATTATGTTTAAGAAAAGATATATATATATATTTTTAATAAATTATATATTTTTGAATTTAGACTTACATTCTGCATTTCTGATTTACAAATGTTTTCAGAACAAAGATGCATACGAACCATTCTGTAAAGTTCCACTGGTGACATCATCTAAGGAGGAACAGAGGCTCATTGCCACTGCTAATAAGGTACAAATGCTTTATCATGTCAATTTCAGAGAAATACAATATTCTTTCACTGAGAACAGAACCTTGACTTGTCTTTCTGTTTATTTGCAGCCTACAGTCAAACTGCTGTACAACAGGAGCAACAATAAATATTCATATACAAGGTAAATGTTTAATTTGCTTATAAGGTATGGGTTGTTGGGAAGTTTACTGTTGAGCTTTTACCTGATCACTTTGCTCTTTCTCTTTGTAGCAACTCTGATGACAATATGTTGAAGAACATTGAGCTGTTTGACAAGCTGTCTCTGAGGTTCAATGGCCGAGTGCTCTTTATCAAGGATGTGATTGGTGATGAGATTTGTTGCTGGTCCTTTTACGGCCAGGGCAGGAAGATTGCAGAGGTGTGCTGCACATCAATAGTCTACGCTACTGAGAAGAAGCAGACAAAGGTAAAGGGTGACCTGTCTGTCACATGGTTAAAATCAATACAGTCTAGCATCTTTTTATACAGTCTAGCATCTTCTATTTTTTCGAAACATGAAATCTCTTATTTCTGGGTTTCTGCTGGTCTTAAAAGGTATTAATTTGCCCTTTTACAAATTAAGCAGTCTTAGTCACAGTATTAAATGTTGCATGCACTGCAAAAACTACATCTATACCTCAGTATTTTTTTTTTTTTTTCAATTCAAATATCTAATGGGTTTATACATAATAAGAAATTTAAGTGAGGTTAAGATTAAAAGAAGACTGCTTATGTCATGTTATGTTATGATTCTCAAGTAAATGTATCTTGATTTAAAAAACTTTAGACATTTGCATTGGAAATTATAGCTTTTTTGCAATGTTATCATAAGGTAGAGTAAAGGGGTTTTATGTAAAATAAATAAAAAGTAATGTATTTCTGTCAAAAGTTAAATTATCAAACTTGGCAGTATTGAAACTTAGTAATAAATTACTATAAAGTGAAGTGAAGTGACGTGACACGTGGCCAAGTATGGTGACCCATACTCGGAATTAGTGCTCTGCATTTATCCCATCCAAAGTGAACACACACACACCGTGAACACACACCTGGAGCAGTGGGCAGTCATTTTTGCTGCGGCGCCCGAGGAGCAGTTGAGGGTTCGGTGCCTTGCTCAAGAGCACCTCAGTCGTGGTATTGAAGGTGGGAGAGAGCGCTGTACATTCACTCCCCCCACCTACAATCCCTGCCGGTACGAGACTCGAACCCGCAACCTTTGGGTTACGAGTCCGACTCTCTAACCATTAGGCCACGACTTCCCCAATAATAATAAGTAATACAACTCATCGAGTGCCCCCAGGATTTTACATTTAGATATTGATGTATTGTTCTGTTCCCTTCGATTTATTCATTACATTTTCTTTCTTGGTCTTAAAGTCTCAAATTGACCGTCACAAAACATGCAGAATCCCCAAAGCAGAGTTATCTTGTAGATGGCAGTTCTTTGTCCTAAAAGCTTGTCCTAAATCAGTGATGGGCAAACTTGGCCCTTCCAGGCCACTTTCCTGCAGAGATTTGATCCAACCCTGATAAAACTCACCTGCATATAGCCTTCTAGTAGTCTTGAAGACAATGATTAGCTGGTTCAGGTGTGTTTGATTAGGGTTGGAGCTAAACTCTGAAGGAAAGTGGCCTGGAATGGCCAAGTTTGCCCACCCCTGTCCTAAATGCTTCTGATAAGTTTATATCACACACTTTTTTTATTTCCTCCCTCCATAACAGGTTGAGTTCCCAGAGGCTCGCATCTATGAAGAGACCCTCAACATCTTGCTCTATGAGTCTCAAGATGGCCGCGGACCTGACAATGCACTGCTGGAGGCCACAGGTGGCGCTGCAGGTCGTTCCCACCACATCGATGAGGATGAAGAGAGGGAGCGCATTGAAAGAGTGCGGAGGATCCATATCAAGCGCCCTGATGACCGCACTCACCACCACCAGTGACTCCACAGTTTCTCCTCTTTTCAGTGCCTTAACAACTACCTACCAGCGCTTCAGTTACACCACTCTATTTGCACACAGACACGTCAGTTAAGTTTATCCCGAGTCTTCTTCTTTAAAGAGAATCGAATACTCACAGAATCGCTAGTATTGATAATGTTATATGAATATAGCATATAGGGCAATGCAGCATTGACCTCAAACCTCAGTTGTGCACTTTTGAGGACCTCACTAAAAAGATACTATGATGGTGTAAATGTAAACCGAAGTGCACAACGGATGGTTAGTATTACTGCATTCATGACATTCCCTGAACATTTTGCCCTATTTGCTAATCATAAAGCAAATTCTAATGAATATATCAAGTCGATCAGGTAAACTATCATTTAATTGTAGTTTTGCAGCGAATGGATATTTTCCAGATTTGGTTGTCAGCCGTAGTATTTTTGTAGTTGATATTATTTACCTTTTTTTTTTTTGAGTGAAGACTGTAGGGTTCCTGGTGCCTTATAGGTTAATACTGGTCTGTTTTGAGAGATTTTTTGTTGTGTATTGTGTGATAGACATTAGATTTTTGTGGCTTTTGAGTTTAGTTTATCCCTCTTTTCTTGTTTATTTTGTTTGCTTTGTCGCTTTGAACTGAAGTGTTGGAGCCAGGATTTCACAGTGCTGATAGTGTGTCTTACTGAGATTTGATTTGAGATTCAAGTGAAAGTGTGGGTGTGGTTTAACAGTCAAGTGATCAGTGAATTCAGTGAAGGAGGATATTATTATTGCCTTATGAGAAGCATTCAATCCATAACTCCCCTATTTTTACAGTCATTAGAGAAGAGTGTCATACAAATTATTAATCTGTCAATTTTCATTTTATTATGCTTGTGCAAAAACATTTATGTAAGCTGTCACTTGATTGTATGTGCTGGATTTTTTTTGAGAGGTCTGTATGAGTTTGGCCAATAGAGGGTAGTATAGTGTTATGGTGTTTTCACTCGTACATGAGGAGGCACTTTTAGATAATCAAAGCCAGTAATTTGTGAAGTTTAGCTACAATCACTAAAAAAGATTATGCTATTAAATACCTTTCCACTGCACTGTATTAAATTCCATCAAGTTAATTACGCTTCTGGGTTTTGTAAGTGATCGCATACAAGTAAAGAAACTGAGATGTAGTCAGAAGCGTTCGGATGTAACTTATATCGCTAATTGAGTGTAATCAGAGACTGGACCACGTCAAAGAAGCTCCAGGAAGTACGAGAGTACGGGCTCTCCTCTGCTGCAGACAGCTGGTTTGTGATCATTAGTTTTATTAAAGGTATATTTAAAAAAAAAAAAAAATTAAATCTGTAATACTGTAGACAAGTTTGTACAGACGTGCACATGAATACAAATGTTTTACATACAAATTATTTATACACACATTATAACAAATAAAGATTTCTACAAATTTTGTAGATCAAACTGCGCATTTGCTTTATTTTATTTCTGTGGTTTGCATGCATTTGTATAAAACAATATTATAAATATGGCTCATCAACAAAGCATGAACATGACCAAATAAAATATTCAATTTACAAGAAATGTGATCAAGTAACAACGGTAACCTGGAGGGCAGCATTTATGAAAACAAAATATATTTTTTAAAATAACTATTTAGCTGTAACTTTCCATTTGTACGCAGCGTGCTTCTTTCAATCTCCATATACTGAGCACTGCGTGGTCTGTTTAATTATGTGCATGTCACAGTTTGGGATAGGATGATTGAGGAAAATATCTTCCATAAGGGTTTCCCTCATGAAATATACACAGACTTGGTGACCTCCTTTGGATCACCGAGACTTCATCCGCGGAGCCACCTTTGATAATGAAAGAGTCTTGAGTACTGGAGCAATATTGTTAAATTAAGCAGAAATACGAAAATAGCCGCTTACCACCATCAGATGTCCATTTTTGCCTTTATAAATCATAGGCTCTTGGCCAGTACTGAAGTCCACACCGCCCTCCTTGCCTGTCTGGATCTCAAACTTTATGCTGTGAGAAGATCAAATGTTAACATGTGTCCAAATGAACAGTTGGAAACAGGTTGGAAAATAAGTGATGTTGGCCTTTTTACCTTCCCTGAACAACCTTGATGTTATTCTGCTTGTTTGCAATCATAGCCAGTTTGGTCAAAGCTTCAAACAGGTGGTCACACTGAAGTACCATGTCCCCCTCAGATAAAAGAAACTATGTTAGTACTTGGAAATGATGTATGGATTTGTGTAACATTGTATTGTGAAATAATTTAGAGATTACCTAAAGGCCATCGGCCATGACATAATAGTGTTACTAGCGTGAAGCCTGGTTTGCTCACCTTCTGTTTTGGATCATTCAAGGCAACGTGGAGGATCATCACAGAGTCACCCAGATTACTGAGAGAAGCACCTGTGTACACAAGATAAATTCACTGTGGACCCGGTTCTCTCTGTTTTGCAAATAAATGTTACAATAAAACACATACACTATCATTTAAAAGTTTGGGGTCTGTACGTTTTTTTTAAGAAATAAATAGTTCTATTTAGCAAGGATGGATTAAATTGATCAAAAGTGTCAGTAAATACATTTGTAATGTTACAAAATATTTATATTGCAAAGAAATGCTGTTCTTTTGAACTCTATGCATCAAGGAAACCTAAAAAAATGTATCACAAAAATATTAAGCAGCACAAGTGTTTTCAACTTTGATAATAATAGATGTTTCCTGAGCACCAGATCCGAATATTAGAATGATTTCTGAAGGATCATGTGACACTAAGGACTGGAGTAATGGCTGCTGAAAATTCAGCTTTATTTAGTTATTTATAAAATGTTATTTATATAGTTGTAGTTATTTTAAAATGTAATATTACAGTTTTTCTGTATTTTTAATCGAATAAGTGCAGCCTCGGTAAGCATAAGAGGCTTCTTTCAAAAACATTTAAAAATCTTACTGATCCCAATGTTCTCAATAGGGAAAAGTTGTAGTTGTTCTCAGTAGTGTAAAATTGTACTTTTAGGGGTACAACATGCCCTCAAAAGTACACCTTTCTACCTACCTCTAAAGGGTGCATATTGGTACCTTGGGAGTACATTGTAGTCCCTTAAGGTACTAATATGCACCCTTTAGGGGTAAATATGGTACAAAGTTGTACCTTTGAGGATACTGCCCCGGTGAAAATCTTGAGGAATGCTACAGGGGAATAATTAAAAGGAGACATCTTTAAAAGTGCTGTAATGAACTTTTACTTCACTGAGTGACTACACATATTATCTACCCCTTGAGACCCACCTTTTAGAGAAACATAGTCTACTCTCTGCTTGATCTTAGCTTCTTCTACCAGGTATACAGCAGCCTGAGTGAGAATAAGTTGCCTTGGTCTGGGTTTAAATCCATTTCTGTCATACTTCACCACAGGAACGCTGTACTGCAGAGAGAGAACGTGTGTTTAGGTGACATTGAAAACAGGCTCTTTTTCTATTATGCATGACTGACAATTGGGCCTCATCCATTAGAAAGATTCTTATTACCTTGATACGTTCATGTCGTATAGTCTGAAGAACCCTCATATTGATGTCTTGTTCATCTGGTGAATGAAAGGAAGTGCATAAGACACACAAAAGGATCTGTGCTAAACTAATTGCTGTTTTTGTAAACTGTACTGACTGATTCTAGTGTCCACAAAAGGAACAGCAACGCTCGAAGGGTAGCTGTCCTTCTTTCCCTTAAAGATGCCACTGGTTACTACTTTTTGTTGCAGCTGTGAAAAGACATAGCATTCAGTCTTCATTGTCATTATCAGCCAACATTTAAACATGGCGAAATTAGCTGAAACTGTATTTTAAGACACAAAAGCATGTGACAACAGTGATAGTGACCTGTGCTTTTTTTTGTGGCGTAATTCCCCGCACATACTTCCTCACCATCATCCGTGTGTGCAGCTGTCGCAGAATCTCTGAGGTCTACAAATACAACAGCATCAAAGGCATTCCCAATTTAAAATAATACTGCACATGAACGTTTGCAACGCATACAGTGGCCTCACAAAGTATACGGACAATTAAGCCCTTAAAATTGAAGTTAAGGTTAAGCGGCAATTGTTTTGACGCCACTTTTAATGCAATGAAATTCATACAATTAAGTGTGGCTGAAGTACTTTAGGCTTAGCGCATCTGTTTAGCTGTGCACTCCCTGGTTGAGCATTGTTTCTGCACTGTGTTGAACTGATCGCACTGCATTTTTTTTTATTTCTCTCTTTTTGTGTTTTTACGTATGCCTCCTCCTTTTAATATAGATCTTATTTTAATTGATCAATTTCATAAATGTTTTTTTTTTACCTTTTTTATTTTTGTATTGTTTTTTAATTTCACAATTCAGATTAAAGGAGATTGTATATTTAGATATCATGTGAGTTGTCAAAGAAGCAGTTTATTTTATTTTATTTTATTTTAATGGATATTTCATTTGTTTGTTTCAGTCATCTTGATTTAAAATAGCAATAGTAGGCTATACGTACTGATTCAGTATTTCATAGAAATTAATTTTATAAATACTGTGTGTATTGGAAGTATGGAAATAATTCCTTGATCACATACAAATTTTGCAGTATCGATTAATTAATTGATTGATTGATTTATTGATTGATTAATTGATTAATTAATTTAGTTAACATTTCACATTATGCTGTGATAAACGGCATAGTTTGGAAATTAAAAAAAAAAACATTGATTTATTTTGTGTCTATTTGGCATCCAAATGCCAGTACAATCTTTAAATTAAAAATTACTTCTGGTTTCATATGTCATAACAATGGAAAGTCAAGAGCATTGCATATACAGTGCATTACAGTAATGCTCTTTTTTATTTATTTTATTTTATTTATCTAGATTATTAGTGGTGGCACTACCCACAACACAATGTGTGCAACTTCCATTTAATCTTAAAAAAAATAACCATCCTTACTTAGATCTTATTTTAATTGATCAATTTCATAAATGTTTTTTTTTTTACCTTTTTTATTTTTGTATTGTTTTTTTATTGCTTTTGATTTTTTATGTATTCTTTTTATGACTAACATTTTTATGATTTTTTTATGTAAACCACTTAGAACACCATTGTGTATGAAATGTGCTATATAAATAAATTTGCCTTGCCGTAAGTGTTCAAACATTTTGGGGCCACTGTTGAATACCTCAGAATTTCTGAATACCTCTGTCATGACTGGGGGAGGTGTCAGCCATGTGGTCTTGTCCAGGACAGTCTTTGGTAAGTTGTTTTTTAGTCTATTTAGGTAGCTCTGTCGAACGAAGGCCAGGTATTCAGAGTTGTCAGTAGTTTTTGCCTCACGTCGTGTGATGTAACCCTTAATAAACCTGCATGGATAAAAATCATGTCATAAAGGGAATGCCATCTCATCCCTTAAAAGGATAGTTCACCCCAAAATAAAAGGTGAGTAAATGATGACAGAATTTTCATTTTGGGGTGAACTATCCCTTTAAATTAAAGGGTATACACCTGGTAAATAAAATGTATTAATATTTACAAAAAAAAAACTAAAATTACATTAACTAATATTACTAACTGTTTAATGATTTTTACAGCCCAGGCTCTGCGGTCTCTCTCTTTGCGTGCCTGCACTCCTCTCCAACACGTCTCAATTTTTGTAGCTAAATGTTGGCAAAAAAATAAAAAATAAAGATGTAAATAGCACATATATGTATGCTATAATAAATATACTTTATGTTGCAATGAAGTATCATAATATTATGTAATATAACATAAATATCGGTTATAAAAAACCATTGAATCAATAAATACTGTTATTTACCAGCCTCTTTCTGTTTTCGAAACTCTCCTTTGGTTCTGTAACCTTTGTATTTGGCCTGTATTCTTGAAGCTGTAAAAGCAACATTAACACATGCTTACAATACAAGAAAGAAATTTAAAATGTCTCTTTTGAGTTCTTTTTTTGCTTACCCAGTTCATGTTTGCAGATTTCAAAGGCATCTTCTGTGGCAAAAAGTGTCCTGGCATATCGTATGAATATCTTTGTCCTTTGAATATGACAGAATATGAAGAGTAGTTCAGGTTTGTGTGGTGAGAAAACAGATGCTAATTTTTCAGTATTAAGTTGTGAAGTTGAAAGCCTGAAACCACTCACTTGCCCATTTTATACTCATCAGGCTGGTAGCCCAGATGTTGCACAAGTTCTTCCACCCCATCTGCAGGTACACCTTTCCAGTGGGGCCAAGTGGCAGGACAAAGAGCTTTATACCTTTGAAATGTTGCATTAGATGAGCATTTTGAGTCTATGAAGTGTATTTAAAAGTTAACAGCTTTCACATCTGAGTATGTGATGGTATCAAATGCCAGTATACCTCTTGAGAAAAACCTCATATCTACGTCGATATGCAAATCCAGCTCGTCTGACCCTCAGATGCTCCATTAACCCCAGATATTTCACCTGGTGC